TATCAACACAATATCCACATGTTGATCGCAACACAATTTTCACCGTCGACCTACCACCTTGCGGATGTTCAGAGGCCGTCCTCGACAGGCAGCCATGGTTCACCGCCAAATCCGGGTTGGAGACATTTACAAAATTTGTGAACTTTCACTGCAAGCATCCATTTTCACACACATGAACCACACATTCCAGCAAGTACGCGGCAGCGCCATTGGCAATCAAATCAGCCCAGTTCTTGCCAACCTCACAGTTAGCCACGTGGAACATCAGTGGCGTACACAGCCACAAATACAACTACTTCAGCAACGCGCTCACCGTATCTACACCACCAGATACGTTGACAACAAACTTGTCCTTCCAAACAAATCACAACATTTTCATGATGGCATGCAGCAATTTCTCACAGACACTTTTTACGAGCCTCCAGTTCTACTTGAACAAGAACCAGACTTGTCATCCCTTGGATGCACAATCAACCCTGACCTTGAGACACTGTCATACATTCAACCAACTAGCACTTGGCAATTCCAACCTTACTCCTCAGCAGCGTCGAAGCAGCACAAACTTTCAGCAGCATACAGCCGCATTTGCTTGGCAGCACGACACAGCCGCAGCCACCCACAACAACAAGCAAAAGCTGATGTTGAGTCCTTAATTCAGAAGGATGTATCGCTCGGATATCCCGAACAACCACCACACGCTGATTGGCACTTGTTTCAAGTTTGATATAATAGCAAAGTTGTACTTGATACCGATACCTTGTATTGCTGTCACTGGTGCTTGAAGCCATTTGAAATCTGACCAGCACTATCTTGTTTTGCATTCATTCCGGTGTTTCAAACTATATGACATGAGGCCAACAGCACTGAGGGGTGGTTTTGCCACAACTAGTTTAGTTGGAAACAACTATATTGAGGACAGTCTTTGTTGTATGGAAAATCGTGCCCGAGCGGCTTGCTGTGTGTGGGAAACCTTGAATCAAAGGGTATAAGCAGGGGGGCAACAGCCCATCTTCCTATGTTGCCCAACGAAGCTATGGAAGATGTGGTGGAAGGGTTCATGGATGCATGAGCCTGTACCTGCCGTCTCTATGGGATCCGGCTAACCCAAGAACCGGCTTGCCGTTTATCATGTCACGTCATGCGTTTTCTAAGGTAGGCGAGCGAGGTCAAGATCGTCATTTGGTATTTCACAGAAATGGCGACATGACATGACAACATGATAACATAGCATAACATGTTTTCATTTCATCTCATTTCATCCTCTCCCTTCGGGGTGTATCCGAGTGTGTAACTCCTTTTTTTCACATCCTGGTCCTCTTTTTTATCGAATATCTGCACGCACCGAGGAGCCCCAGATGGAGCATTTCTTCTGCTCCAGGAGGAGGTGTGGGACCCGAGTCAGGGCACTAGTTTATTTGGGGCTGGTAGTGGTTTGGTCATGGTCAAATCCCCATTTTGAATCATTTGGAAGGATTTGCAGATATGTTTGGATAGTTTTACCATATTTTACATAGTTTTTTGTATGACCATTTTGATGTTTGCTATATTTTTTGCTGATGATCTCCCCTCATTATTATCCGGTCGGTGGACATATCCTCAATTCTTGTCGTTGAAGTTTTAAGGTCCCTCAGGTGCCTGATGTGGGGCACGCAGCTGCGAGTGCTGCTGCTAGCCATGCCGTATCGTCTTAAGATGTCTTAAGTCTTAAGTACCTCAAGTTGCATTGTTTGAATCAGCTATTCTGGAATGTTTAAAGACCTTGGCAGGGACATCGCTCGCAAGTGTTCAGAATGGTCGAGATATTGTATCAAGAGATGAGGAATTGAGGACCAAACTGTCACAAAATCCATGCAGGCAGTCAGCTCAGGGCAAACACCTGGGACCTTAAAATGAATTCTGTGCAAATCTCCCGAGAAATGTTGGAAGGGACGATTAAACTCGTCTCAGCCAAGTCCATGCCAAGTTTTTTGATAGCTGTTTCAAAAACTCTTTGAGGGATCCTGGCAGATGCACAGTCGTTGCATCTCGCCTTAAACAGCCTCAAACTCGTTCCAAGAGTTTTCAACACTCTATGCTCGTGGATTGCGACCCAGAATGACCCAGATCCACGTTGGCTGTCGCACGGCCGAAAGGCCAGAAGCATCAGCATTGCATGAAAAATGCTGAGGGGCCAAGACGATTGGCACTCCGGCCGAAGACGCCGAAAGGTGTCGAAGCTGTGTGCAAACATGTTCTAAATAATTTCATATAGTTCAATACATGTTCAAATATGTTCAAATCAATGGCTAAGAAAAATCAGATGCCTTCAAATAATCTTCCAATGATCTTAGCGTCCCTTGACCCTTGTCATTTTTGCTTCCTTTTGGTTTGGCCACTTTGAAGCATTGGATTTGCCGCGGGGCAGCGAGACTCTGCGGCTGAATTTATCCTGGCTCCTTGCCTCAATACAAGGCGACTGAGCCATCCTGGCGTAGCATTAGGAAGCTGACTGGGTATCACAATTGAAGCTGACCATGTCCGGCAGAAGCGATGCTGAGACTGAGCCAATGTGATTTTGGTGCTGTGGGCTGCAGGGTTCATCTGCTTGTTATCTCAGGTTGCTAATAGCTGACCGTGCAACAAGTTTTTACATGTTGCTTCCAAGACAGGCCCAAAGCGTCTGATGACGGCAGCCATGCCTTTGACATCGTAATCTCATCACTGTCGCCCCACGCCATGAGGAAAATTCGTTGCAGAAGAGACGCGTAACCAGTGCAACCTGTTGAGATGTTGAGATCATTGAAGATTTACTGATCCGCCTGGGGCTATTTGGTTTGGAATGGTGGAATTGTTTCCAACAGTTCTGCACCTGATCTTGCACCTGCAAAGTTTGAGCTTCAAATGGCCTTAAGAGGAAGTTAGCATGGCTGACGGGGATGTCCTGGGCATTCTGCTTCTTGCCCGCAATGCTAGCTTGCCTTCTTGCCAGGTTTGCACTGTCATCTCACCTTTTCAAACATTTTGGATCAGCCCTTCAGAAGCGGTGCCACTACTGACTCGTCCAGCTCCAGCTATCTCCAAGGTCCTCGATATCTCAGCCTTCCGCCTCCTCCAATTCTGTGCCGGGTTCAGATGTTTGTTGGGTCCTTGGAATGAAACCATTGAAGAATCAGACCTTGTCCAAAACTATGGGATACTCCGCCAAAATGATCCAAACTTTCCATCCCAATCATCCTACTGGTGCTTGTCACCCAGAAATTTTGGGTGTCCAATAATTGGGGCAATCCCCAATGAATCCCTGGACTTCAAGGCTCTCAACAGGGCGTTTTCTCGCCCAAGTCGGAGCCTGTTTGGAGGAGGGGCATGTGCCAAATCCAACTCTCTGAATGTGCACTAGACAGTGATATCACAACATATTACCGTGTTTTACACCTTTCAAATCCTTTCAATCTCATTCAATATTTGTGATGTATGACTATGTAACTTACGTATGCATAGATTTGTTATGTCTTTGTGTGTGTGTGTGCGTGTGCGTGCACATGTTCTATGTTATCCAGATCTCATTCTTCCATTTCTACAATGAATTTTACCACCTGACTTGGCCATACTTTGCCGCAAGGACCAAGAACATCGTCCTGATTCGTCCAGCGCTTTGACGCTGCATCCGGGCATCATGGTATTGGCCACGTCAAGCTGCTCCGCTCAGGCCATGGACGATCATCGTGGAACGAGTTCCTGGGCGTCATAGTCTCAGGATTCCTCAGGATGTTTGAGGTGTGTTGTTTGCATAAACTCACTAAAATTGCTAAAATCAATTAAAATCATCTATGAATCGGCTGCAATACAAATTTGTAAGTTGTCATTCTTGGATGCATCAGGCTCACAAGCGTGCTCAATGGGAAGAGCAGGACAGGTTGCTGACTGGGTGGCATCCCACGGACACATCGCCAAGCCATTGGGATTGGTGAAGGAGCTCAAACGACAAGGTGCTCCAAAAAGTGGCGGCGTGCGCAACGTGCTCCGGTTTGGCCGCCCGTTGAAGATCGAACCCGATGAGTTTGGATATGGCAGATATGGGATAGCAATGGGATCCACAATGGGATACCAACGGGCCCAGAAAGCAACAAGAGAAATATGTGAGTATTTGAAATTGAACATGTTCGCTGCAAACCCTAGGTTTGCCCGCGGCGAATCCCGCATATCCTTTGACATACTCAAATCCCTTCGTAGGGAGTAGGGCTTAGTTTTTTTTTCTAAACTTTCCAGAACAACAAACCCTAAAACCTAAAACCCAACAACCCTAAATTAAAACCCTAAATGTCCTAAATCCTGACAACTTAAAGTCAAAATCACTGCGTATAGCTCGTGTTTTCATTCATCCTCTGGTGACAAGTTATATCATATTGTTTGGATGTGTTGTTTGAGTGTGGGCGAACCCGGGGGTTGGAGGGAACACATCCAACTTGCCAGGTCAATGGTTGGCCGTGGTGAAGCAAATGCTTCAGCTTACCCACAGGGGTTAGTTGCTGAGACACAAATGAGACCAGGGCGACCAGGGTGCAGAGCTTCCCAGAATTCGTTGCAGGTAAAAATATCAAACTGGTCAGGAATTCTCATATTTGCTGGGAAAATATATGGAAGCTATGGAAGAATCATGGTTTAATTGCTGATGTTTCCTGTGCATTTTCTCTTCAATAAGTTATTGAGAGGCGTGTAAACATTGCATAACCATGAGGCAACCAAAGTCTGGGCACACGGACCTGCTGGACCTTGGAGAGGCACAAGCTGAATCACTACTTGACTCCTTGTGATCTGGGTGTATCTTCAAAAACGTCAACCAAAATCCCATGGCTAGTCATTTCCCCACAAAAAGCACCATTTGGTGTACTTGCCAATTCTTGCAGGAACCCAGGTTGCATCTTGGGAATGATTCATTTGTCACTGCACCCTCCCGGGAGCCGTTTGAATTGTGAGATCGTAGAGTGCACTCGATCGTGGGCCTAATTAAGACTTCATCAGCCATGACTATTCCGAATGATTTTCCCGACGGGCCAGTTCTGCTGGGGCAGAGGACCCTTGGATACCCTTGGTGTCTGAAAGACGCTGATGGAAAACGACCAGGGCCTAAGGGGTCCCCCATTGGGTGATCCCTCAACATCCCTCAACGAGTTCCAAGGACCCTCCAGATGGCTCCGGCAAATGAGAAATGCACGCATGCTGAGACTGCCGAAGGAAAACACATCAAGAAAGGCCTGAAACCAATGGGTTGGTCTCAAACTGGGGGGCACCTCAAAAAAGTGCAATTTTCAGGTTACGCCATTAGGGTTTTGGGGTTCCAAATCTTGAGACAACTCTTTGCATTCTGAAGAGGTGGATGTCCACGGCGGCTTCCTTTGGGAGCATGGTTTCAGATGCTGTCCCTTGTCATGGGCAGGTTTGTTGTGGTCACTTGAGCGAAGATAGAGATACGAAGCCTAGCCGCGGAGCCGTGGAGCCGAGGTATGCGACCTTTGGTTCGTTTGTCCCACTGGCAATGCTATGCTATGGTTGTCAGCAAAACTTTGCGAAAGCATCGACAGAGTTTGCCTGCAAATATTACATGATGGATGAGCTCAAGCTTGATGGTGTCACAATAGGGAGGCGGGCAATAACGCGCAGGAAGCCAAAAAACTTTGAAAAAAAAAACGGTGCATGCATTTGGATGCATTTGGCTTCCATATTTGTGCATCACATTCTTGAAGCAGAACGCAGCGAGGGAACAAACATCCAAGCTCCTCAGGTTCATGACAGCTGCACATGTTCCATGGAATATTAAGCCGGTGCTTGGAATGCTCTCAGACTCTGTCACTTTCTGCGGATTCCACCGCACATCGCACCTCTCGGCAGAATTGAGAACGTTTGCAGAAATTGAGGGAACTTGATGGAATTTGTATGAATTTGTGTTGTGTGGAATTTGGATGGTGACATTTCATGTAGGCGTTTCATAATTTATATGGCCCAGTTCAGGATTCCCTGACTCTAAACACTCTAACACTAACATATTCTTCATCAAAGAGAGTGGACGCTCTGGGACCCTTGCTTTTTTTTTTGCGGCTGAGGTACGTTGCAGCAATGTGCTGCCTCAGCATCACCATGTACTCGTGGGTTGGTTTCAGTGCTGTGTCTGCCCTGGGTCTCCTGGCATTCCTGACCGTCAACAATTTCGCCACTGCATTTACAGATTCTTGGTGGATCTTGGTACGTGACCTTATTATGTCACCTTGGCTGATGTTGAAATATGTTGAAATATCTGATTAACAGACATTAACATATATTAACAGTATACCCGTATGCTGGTGGCAGTGGGTTGATGCAGCTGTTCCTACCAGGACGTGCTCGTTGATGCCACTACGGCGCGGCTTGCGAGGTGTCATGCGAGTCAAGCATGTGAGCCTCGGGCAAGGACCGCAGCTCAGAAGCCGTGGCCATTGAAGAATGGGATATCCCATGGATATCCCCAAGATTGATAACCCCAAACAAAATATACATAAATATATATATATATACACTTACAGAGAGATGATGTACAGAGATGATTGAAATGGATAGTTAAGCAAATTATGGTGAGAATATATGATAGAAAAAATATAGGTAGAGTTCGAAAATGGTAGAAATATGAACCCCGTGGAATTGGGTGGGGCACTATTGCGGCAAGCGCAGCAAGCAGACAGTGTGACAGTGTGCCGAGCTGCGGTGAGCCGAGGATCTTCAAACAGCGATACGGGTATCACAAGCTGCAGGTGGCCTCGCTTCGAGTGCCATCAAGGGGACGTTGGTTTCAGTCCTCTCTCCCCGTGGCACGATTATGAGCAATATACTTTGCGTGGCAGTTCAGCTGCACTTGAGATGTCAAGTCGTATGTATTGATTCCGCATATTTCAGATCAGCACAGAATTTGGGAATGCTTCAGTTGCCTTTATGGTTTTTTACTGTGAGCTTGGCTGCATGTGGCTGTGGCTGGTTGGAGTGTTTGTTGACAAGATAAAAAAAGTGCCGCGGATCTTCTCAGGTAGTGGTTCTGGTTCCTGCGCTCAGAGGGTGGTTGCCAGAAGAACGGCTTCCAGGTAAATGCTGCACTGCGAGCTTGCAGCTTGGTGATGCACTGCTTTCAAAGGCCACATAGCAGCTGCCATTTTCTCATCCTGTTACCACTAGAGTGCAATGAACAACCAATGCAGCTTTCTTGCTCCACGCCATGAAGTGATACATGCCCATTCATTCCTACACGCTGAAGATGAGGAAAACATGCAGCCAGAACTCTGGTTTGACTCTCGCAACTGAGCTGCAAACACCATGGGATGGATGAATTGCCAATGCTTGCTCTCTTCACAGGCAATTGGAAGCATCCAAAGTGTCTCACGCAACTCAGGCGGCGGCCTTCTTGACCTTCCTTGCAGTGACTCTGTTTGTCTCACAGACCTTCTTGCCGGGCTGGCGGACAAGAGCCCCTTCGCCAAGCATCTTAAGCAATATCACTTCAAGCAAGCCCCTTCTGATCTGAAATATGCTACCAGAAACATATGGAAAACCTGGCTTAGTATGGTTTAGTATGGTTTAGTACCCTGGATCTATTCCTCTTATGGGGTTTTGTAATGGAGCATTTGTTATTCCATCCCTGGCTGACCGCAACTGGCTTCCGAGGCAGCGGTGCTGATTGTATGCTCTGTTTCTGTAGTTGGTTGTGCCTACAAGGCCTGGACACAGAGCATGGGATGTCGAATCACCCATAGCACGCAAGATCAACAACCAACTGACCTATGTTGGACGACAGCGGCACAGTGCCACTGCAACCAAAGTGATGAACCCAAATAAACATTAACACACTGCTGTTATTTGATAGGTGAATCAACAAATATCAAAGATATCAAAGATGCCGGTAAGAGGAGCTTGGCCGCTGAAGTTCAAACATGCCTTTCGGGTTGTATGCCATTCAGTGTCGGTGGAAGACAGTACTGCTTGATAACTCTGTTTCGTGCAATCCGTGGCAGGGGTTGAGTCCCTCATGCTGTCATACTGCCCAAACAAAGAACCTAAGTTCAAACACGTGAGGTGGTGAAGGCTTTTCTCTTGGAATTCAACTTGGAATAATTATCTTGGAATCCAGGATTCCTCATACAAGTGAGTCCCACGGCCCACACTGTCCCACATATGTTTTTGATTTATTATTGTAAATTCAGCTCAAAATTGGATGCCGCTGCTCCATTTCCTTCACAGATTTGAGATGCCGCAGGATTTTCCTTGTCTTCCATGCTGCATGATGCTGCATGCTCCGCGCAGGTCTTCAGCAAGATCTCGCCATATCTCTGGAAGACCTCCGCACTGTTGTTTCTGCGGGCATGTTTCCAACCAGGCCAGGAACACATCCTCAGTGTGACAAGTGAAAATCGAAGGACATTTTAGGGGCGTCTTAAGATGTGGGGCCTCCCCCAAATCATCCAAACTCTGTAATCTTTGTGTAATCCTAATAAGGAAACCTGATCGTTTTGGTGTCCGATCTTAAGATATCTTAAGAAGTTTCAGCATATTTGAACTCATTCCCCCATCCTCGTGCCAGGTTTGGGTGAATCCATGTTCGTATGGATGTCAAAAGATCCCAACGGGCCGCGCTTCACACCAGAACTCCTGGGGCTGGCCGATTGCTTCGGTCACGCGGGGCTGTTAGTAGGCGTAGTGATCTTCAACAAATTCCTGAGAAGCTGGAAATACCGAGACTTGACAAGAACTGAAAGAATGGGGAAGCCCCGCAAGGCTATTCCTCCGAGAGCAAATGTCGGGCCCATTCAGCCCCCAATGGTCAATAGTTTTAGTGGTTGCTCTTGGATTTGCTGTGTTGAGTTGAGAATAGTTGAGATGTTTTTAGGGTTTTTTTATCCTTGTGACCCATTGGAATCTGTTGATCGATCCGAGGCAACATTTTTTTGCTCGGGCAGCTTCTAGTGATCCTGTTGCAGTTTATGGACCTGATCCTTGTTCTTCGGTGGAATCTGCATATGGGACTTCCCGATATTGTGCAACTTGGACGGCAAAAGCTATCACTTGATATCACATGCACGGAATAAACATGCGAAAACTGCTAATCTGAACGATCTTGTGGCAGATTCTCAGGTTCTTCATTGGGGACGAGACCTTCGACACGGCAGTGGAAAGGACATTTTATGTTCCTTTGGTCGTACTGGCCTACAAGGTTTGCCCTGGCCACCTGGAGGCGACGATCTTTGCCACCCTCATTGCAACCAGCAACATCGGTGCCTTGAAATATCTAGAAAATTCTAGTTCTTCAGCTCGGCTGAACCATGATTTCCACGTTTTAAACATGTTGAAACATCGAAGCGACCCTACAAAATTGCTCCGCGCCGGAATTGCGAAAAGGTGGCGTATTTTTGACATGCCATGTCGGTGGATGTTCAATATGTAGATGCACAATGATGTACATGTATATGTGGTCCATGATGATGATGATGATGATGATGATTGATGATTGATGATTGATGATTGATGATTGATGATTGATGATTGATGATTGATGATGATGATGATGATGATGATGATGATGATGATGATGATGATGATGATGATGCTTGTAAGTGTGGAGCAACGCCCGGGTTGGGCGGAACATGTTTGGACCGTTTCAGCCCATGCCCACCGATTTCCATTCATCGAGTCATCAAATGTCCCATCTCCATAAAAGTCAGTCCAGACTCCATCCAGTGCTGAGTGCCGCCAAGGAGTTGACTGTGGGAAGTATTTGGGAGTCGCTTTAGCCGAAGTTTGGGGAATTGTGGGTGAAGACTTTCAATACTTGCCACACGGCATCATCTCCAAAGCATTGTTTCGCTTGGTGCCGATTCCGTTTATTCTGATGCTCTCCCCCGACTTCACACCTGACGATCCCATTCCCACCTCCGATCCGATTCCCAGCTCCGATGAGGACAGGGGACAAGAAAAGGTCTGCGTGTAGTCTAGTAGAAACTCCAAATGCGGTGGGTGTCCCTCAAGTTGATCTGTTTTGGATGACATGGGAATACACCCGAAAATTATGATTCTACAGATCTTCCAGTGTTCACTGTGTTCATACTCTGTTTGCGGATGTTTGTAGTGATTGTAGTGGAACTGCCTCTGAAGTTGCCTTTGCAGCGGGAAGCTCAAAGGACCTTACTAAGCGCAAAGAGGCAAACAACGAGCAGCGTCGCGAGCTTCAGGAGCTTTAGTCTTCATGCCACTGATGAAGGACCAGTCCTAGATCACTCTGCAACACGGATTTAGTCTGTGATGTAGGACAGAGTGCCCATTAAAACTAGGTATTATTAATGTAATGTCAAATAGGATCTTCCATGAATTCGTTTTATTGCCTGCGATGAAGCACAGCCCAGAAGGTCTGTGCTTCTTGCAGATAGGACGTGCATAGTCGCATAGTGTTTGCTCGAACATTCCCGCATGTTCAGGCTGCAGCAAGAGCTTGCAGATGATTTGTTTCTCTGACTTTACTTTACCTTTGCCAAGCTGAAAGCTTGAAGCCATCCCACAGTGCACTAGCCCCAAAGTGAGGCCAACGTTCTCTACGAGACTCGTGCTTGATTTGAGAAATACATGCATCCTACAGATGTTACAGCCAGCAGTGATTTATGAAACAGTTCTGGCATACGATGAAACATGAAGAAACACAATTCAGCGGACAGGCTGATCTCCAGAAGCAAAGTACAGGTGGCTTTTGGCAAGGAGTGTTTGGAGCCTTAGTTAAGCCGTAATCATAGCCATCATAGCCATCCCGTGGTCTATCAGCTGCCTAAGGCGTGGTGGTCTCAAGCATGTGGGCAATGCGTTGAACCATGCGGGCAAGCTGAACCAGGTGGACCACCCACTCAGTGCTGGAGGTTTAGCGCAGGCGTCGGCCCTGAATTGGTGGGACAATTTGCTGGAAAACATTTAAGAGACCTTTATATATAGATAATATATAGATAATATATATATATACATATATATATATATTATGTATTTTTTTGATGGAACAAATGATTCTGGTTTCCTGTAGGTTATTCTGACACCAATTCACGAGATTCAGCTTTAGGATCATTTTACTTAAAGCTGCACAGATGTTGGTATCGTTGGTATACCCCATTCTCTATGGGCCATTCGGCCGACAAAGGCGAGGCAGCTGAGACAGCAGATCACTGCACTTACCGCTGAGAGTCAGCCGTCGCAGGCGTGTACCATGGGGCATGGGGAGAGGAGAGATACACACACATTCATACTATAAAGATATATATATATACATATCACATCAATTAAACACATACCGACAGACTGAACACACACACACACACACTTTATATAGAAGACGTGTATCATCGTGTATGTATACTTATGTATAGTTATATCTATCATGTTTTAAACGGGGATGTCATTAAACAAGTTAACCAAGAATATGATATTGTGGTGTATCTGATGCCCCAACATGGCTATATTGTAGCTATTTCAACCGGAGAAGTCTCCTCCCAGTCTCTTCCCCTTCCGCGGTCATACCAAAACATGATGATCCTCCAATAGCAATGTTCGGGATGGGTTGAAGCGACAAACCAGTGTTGCCTTTCCTCAGCAACCAGAGGGCTAAAATTCGAGATGTGCAAGGAGTTCAGCTCATTGTAGGCGTGCATGACTTGCTAATAGTTTTCAGCCCATTGCTTGAAGAAAAACACCTGGGATGGTCTGGGATGACAACATGAAGAAGCCATAAAAGCCAGACTGTTTCACATGCTTGTGATTAAGCATTCGAAGTGGGTAGCTGCATGCAGCCAACACATGCTGACACAACTGGCTGAGAGGCTGCCACATCCTTGCTGCGATGCAGGCCGGCACTCAATTCTGGTGAAGGTTTACATTTATTTATTACTAATTATGTTCGTTTTTTTTTTTTTTTGTGACAATTTTTGGATGTGGTTTGTGTGTGCTTAAATCATTGATGACCTGTCCAATTCCGGCTGGATGTTTGTGGCAACTGGCCGGCAGCTTTTGGGCACAAATTGGAATGACATGCCCCAATCGCTAGGTGCAAGCCTATAGCATCACGGAAGGTAATATCATGTCACATACTGTAATGGTTTTATATGGTTTTATTCTGCTTACGTAGATTCGTGTTTGTAGAGCCCGATGACAAGTCGGTTTGCAAATCATGCATCATCTTGCTAAGTCCCACTTTTATCACTTGTCTTCAGTCTCTTACGGTGCATTGGTTGGCAAATGAGTAGATCTCATGGCTGCCGCTGCCCGACGCAAACGTTGGGAAGAGCATGACTTCTACGATATCTTGGGCGTGGCCTGTAATGCAAGCCAAGATGAAATCAAGCGGGGCTTCAGGACATCGGCTTGGTTGAGTTCTGCTCAGCAAGCCAAAGAGCTGGGTGGATCTGAAAACCAGAGAGATAGAGAGAGAGAGAGAGGGGGACATGCTGCCATTTGCTCCGTACCATCCATTCTTGGACAAACTCAATTTCTTGTTGTAACGCCAACCTTTGCTGAGTAGTCCGCCATTTTTGAGCTGATGTGTAAACATTGTAACATGAGCGTTAGCAGCAGCCGCGAATGGTAATATATGATAACGTATTGACGACAACCAGGAAGATTGCACTAACTTGCCATCCTGACAAGGCCAGACTTGTCGCTGAACTCCAGAAACATCCGTGTTTGCTGTTTTTTTCTCCTGGCCTTTGTCCATTCAGACATGCAACATATGCAAAGATGCAAAAACTGGAGTCTTCTTGCAGTGCAGTGTGTCCGTACAAAATATTGTATGTTAAAGCAATTTAAAGCATTTGCCAGTAGGTGCGAGAGCATGAGAAAGAGCTCGCCACGCAACGTGGCATGGCTGCATCATGCATTCCAGGCATTTTCCAGGCCACATTGCATTTCTTGTAGACGGCCTCAAAATGCCTCAATGTTTCTTTCTTCTTCCATCTTGAAACATCGTGAAACCAAGGTTTCCAGCTCATAGCAGAGGCATACGAGGTTCTCTCAAAACCTGGCACGCGCCGAGAGTATGATGAGATTCATCAAAGCCAAGGCCACGGGAAGATGTGAGTTGTGGTCACGTTTGTCGGTAGCGCATTGCTGTTGCAGGTCAGGAAGTGAAATTACCTGCGACCAAAGTTCATAGCGCCAAGAGAAGTGACCAGCGCTGGCAACGCTGCAAGGCAAGGCTTTCGGCAAACATTTTTGCCAGTGAAGCTGCTATACAGTAGTTGTTGTTTTTGTTACTCACACCTGCTTGTCTCCTTATCTCACGGATTCATGGCTTGCTCTCCAGGGGTGCTTCGGCCGCTTTCAACAAAAGGCTTGGCGATTCTACCGTCGATTCCATGGATGTGTCAATTTGGAGTTGCTGCCAGATGCTGCCAGTGTCTTCGATACAGTAGGTAAAGCATGATAAAGCAACCAATCAAAGGATCCGCACCATGTTTTTCACAGGCTCACATGGGTAGTACATCTTATCATAAGACATTTGGAAAAAACAATGGTGAAGAACGCTAGCTATGATGAATGAGGATTTGCGACGGTGCGCTCCAGCATGCAGCCACCCAGTGTGTTTCAGTTGCGACTCTTGTTCTACATGCACCTTGGCAGCAAAGGAGTATGGGAAAGTCAATGCAAAACCATGGTATAATATGGGAATTTCCCTATAGATGGAGGTTTTAATTGAAGAATCCCCTATGTTTCAATGTCATTCTGGATAGTTGAAACACGAAGGCATGCCCTTGGTGCTCGCATGGGCAGCAGTTCCAAGGCAACAAGCAACCGGAGACAAAAGACTCCAAAGAGCACAGTTTCATAAGCTTCTTGGACTTCATTTGGTAAGTGATGCAAGCACCATCAGTGGTTGAACGCTTCATTCAGATACTCAGGAAGTGCAAGAGGGTTGGTCAGAAACCAGTATATATACAGTATAGTATACCTATGTAATTACACCCCAAATCTCACGGTTTATTGATGTTTATTGTTTATCATTTGTTTTCCATTATTTTCCCCGTGTGTTCATTGAAATTGGAATTTTGTTGTATCCCATGGTATATATCCACATATTGGGACACAAGTGTTGAACATATTTGCCAATCACCTTGAGTCGCTCAGGAAGTGGCATGACATTTGTTGCTGCTTACGACGCCTGCGTCTTTCCTGCGCCACATTCCTGGAAGGTCCTCTACAAAATCGCTCAAGGCACTCGCGTTACCGTGGCTGGCTCACCCAAGAGCTGTGATGGAGATGTGATGGTCAGGAACTTAGTCCTTTGGTACTGGGTGTAGCAGTATTACTACGTAGCAATAAATGGGTGATCATAGGGTGTATATGGGTGTATGAGGACCGTGACTTCATATGAATTCATGACAACAGAACGTTAGCTGCTACAAGATTGTGAAGCAGCTGGAAAATGACTTCGCTCTGATTCATTTCAGCACCAGGCAGTGCCAAAGGTTCTATGGTCCCTGCCATAGCCAAGGTTCCAATCGAACCTAAGGCTTTTGGTGCCGAGCAGCACGGAAATTTGTGAACGTTGACGACATCGCAAAATATGGTTTTCCTGTCCTCCAGAACTCTACTGTGGCAATGATAAATTCATATAAATTCCATGTTTCAATGCGCAAACATCTCCGGAGCATCATCCACATCCTAGTCGTCTCAAATTTCATCAATTTCTGATTCGGGAATCAGAAGGTTTCCCCACGCCGCTTGGGTCGCAGGGCTGGATCGACATCGTTGACCTCAGCATTGCGCGCAAGCCCGAGCCGCGGACCTCGCCACACGAGCCGCGGACACAAGCGGCCGATCCACCTCCCCAGCCCCAGAAGCCCAAGACAGGCCTGAAGTCAGATCCATTGGGTTTGTTGGATCGGTTGCATTCCAGGGGTGACATGGTGATAGTGATAAATGGTGCTATAATTCTATGATGGTGCTAGATTGCTAGATCTCTTGAAGAGGGGCGGTGGCAAAAGAGAGAGAGAGAGAGATGTTGATGAGAAAAGAACTTGCTGCCTTTGTTTGATCCATCTCTGCGTGCCGCTTCGACCCACAGGTGGTGTAGCAACGGCTCCACGACCAGATGGCGCTGAAGTTTGGACGCGAAGAAATGATGAGGCCAAGCCTTTTGAGCATGGCAAGTGGATGGCTCCATTTTGACCATGACCAGCCTGCAAGGACACACCTGATCTACTGCGGCAAGCCTCCAAATTGGCACAAGATTTTGGCGATACGGCTCAGGGATATGTAAAGACAGGCAGGGCATTCGGAGTGAACACATTGTTTTCTCAGATTGTCGCAATATGTCGCAATTGTTGTAGATAGCTTGCTTCATGTTGACCTTGTGGAGGCTATGATGGATCAGCTCAAGTTGCACAGGAGGCATACCGCATGGCACAAGCAGAACCTCAGCCAGAAATGGCTAAAAGTTTGTGTAGCGAGCTGCACAGTTCAAGGCAGATGAGCCAGTGACTAGTGCCAAGTGTGGCTTTGTTGATTTTGCCATCAAAGCGGGATGGTCATGATCATCTTCCCCCTTCATAGGGATTATTATGCCAATAATGAGTATATAATAATGAGTATCAAGGATCATGGCATATGCATACATATATATATATATACTGTATATATATATATATGCACCATATATGCACCATATGCCTTTTTAAATGCTCAAATCAACTCATCATGTCATCATCGGCCCCCTGGCCCAGGCTGGAGAAAATGCTCCATGGCTGGCAGGTGAAGCCATGCGGATGGCCTCAGAAGTAGCTGGCAGATTCTGGGAGACAGCGACGTGGGCCGTGCGCAGGCGGGGCAGGGGCAAGTTGGAGTCCCAGAAAATTGGGAAAAGCCATGAGAAAACCATGGGGAAAACCATGAGACCATGGGAAACCATGGGAAAAGCTGTGAGAAAAGCTATGAGAAACTTCAAATTCCCATGGTTTGCCATTCATTGCCGACATGATCGACATGTTCCCCTCATTTTTGGAAGCCAAATTGCAGAACGGCCAGGTCCCCGAGCGAGATATCTGAGGAGTCGCTAGAGCTGGAGATGGTTGGACGATTATTTTGCGACATTTTCCTGGTATGTTATCTAATGATATATTATGTATGCGTGGATATGTGTGGTGCCAAATGTGGTAATTTGTGATCATATAATGATCCTTTTTTTCGACGTCCATCTTATTTGTTTATGATTTTTCAATGATATTGAAGGATAGCTGCTGGATTGAAAAAAACCAATGATGGATTTTAAAGCGCGACGTTTCTGACGCAATTGCGAAATATTGCGAACAGTTCACCATCGGCCTCAGGTCAGATGAGACTGAGAAGATGACCATCCTCACAACGATGGGTTTCGATCATCAAGCGGCCGAGGCATCTTTGAAGCGCTGCTCGAGCATCGAGGTGTGGCGAAGAGGGAACTTGAAGATGTTGGTCTCCAACTTGGGAACCTGAATGATCTGAATGGTGTGCATGTAAGTATATATATATATATATGAATAGATCGATTATGATAGATTCGATTATAATATTATATAACTATATTATACTATATTATACTATATTATACTATATTATACTATATTATACTATATTCGTATATTCCCCGTTTGGAAACTAACCCATCTGGATGCAATATGGCGAAAGCGTTTACTTTTTCCCCGCCTGCCAGGTGAGGGTTGTTAGATTTTATCAGAGCTGTTCTCCTCCTCCTCCTCCTCCTCCGCCTCCGCCTCCTCCTCCGCCTCCTCCTCCTCGCAGTCCAGATCCCAGTGGGCACAGCCGGACCTCCACCCCGAGCTCCAGATCCCAGTGGGCACTGCCGGACCTCAACCGCGAGTTGCAGATCGCAGTGGGCACTGCCGGACCTCAACCGCGACTTCCAGGTCGCAGTGGGCACTGCCCGACCTCAACCGCGAGCTCCAGATCCCAGTGGGCACTGCCGGACCTCAACCGCGAGCTCCAGATCCCAGTGGGCACTGCCGGACCTCAACCGCGACTTCCAGATCGCAGTGGGCACTGCCGGACCTCAACCGCGACTTCCAGATCGCAGTGGGCACTGCCGGACCTCAACGGGAAGAAGAAGATGCCAGATAGAATGTCAGAAGATATGCCAGATAGAATGCCAGAAAGAATGTCAGAAAGAATGTCAGAAGATATGCCAGACAGAATGTCAGAAGATATGCCAGAAAGAATGTCAGAAGATATGTCAGATAATGTCAGATAGAATGTCAGAAGATATGCCAGAAAAAATGTCAGAAGATATGCCAGATAAAATGTCAGATAGAATGCCAGAAGATATGCCGGATAGAATGCCAGAAGATTTGCCAGATAGAGTGCCAGAAGATATGCCAGAACATATGCCAGAAGATTTGCCAGATAGAATGCCAGATAGAATGCCAGAAGATACGTCAGATAGAATGCCAGAAGATTTGCCAGTAAGAAAATGTATAAATGTCATGGTGGGGATCATTCGAAGTGAAGTATATAATTTTTGAATACGTTTGAATCTGTTCATTTGAATCCGTTTGATTTTTTAGCTTCACCCTTGGAAGACAATGGAAACGATCTCTGCAGATGCAAATTCGAAAGGCGGCGGTGCAGTACATCATGGAGAATTCAGCTGTGAGTGCTCCAGCATCTGGCCATCCGGTTCTACCTTTGAAGGCAACCTGGGTCGGTCATGTCTGACATGTCTAAAACGAGGCACAATATATCGCACAGCATTGTCGCTATTTCAATGGGGAACATTGGGAAACATGATGCAAACCATGGAAGATGATGACCTCAATGGGTTTCAGGTTTCCCCAAAAAAATTCCCGTTGTGAGGCGGTGGGCCAAACACTGGGCCGTGTGCCACCAGTGCCTGGAGACGCAGAGTTGCAGCGAGGCTGCCATCAAGGCTGCGCATATTATGCTTTGCCAGGTATCTACACTTGGCCCTGGTACATTGCCTTTGTGTTTTAAGTTATACTACAACGTGTTTTGGGGTATCAAATCAAAGTCATGCTGACAATATCCACTTCTGCAAAGCCAGCACTAGACACTCAGTGCAACATGGAGGCGGCAGGAAATCGCAGTCAGTTCAAGCAGCTTGGCCTGGCGACCTGAACACAGCGCGTTTTCTTGGCACCATTGATGTTAAACAAGTTCACCAATCATCACTAAAATAGACTAAAATAGCTGTTCATGAAAATATTGAAATAATGTTTGTTTCTGCTTGCTTTGCGTCTTTGGAGATGCAAAGCTGCAGGAATGCAAAGCTGCCATGCAACTGCCAAGAAACTGCAATCTCCATCGACCTCATCAAGATTCTTATTATAGTATCTTAAAGATTCGATTAATTTCGACTAGATGCCCATGGCAAAATGCAGTCTTTTTGGAAGACGTATGAAGACGTGTCCACAGCTCAGGCGGACTTGATTCGCTGTGGCTTTTCAGAAGGCCAAGCCAAAGCAGCTGCACGGAGATGTTCCTCCATCGAAGCGGCAGTCGTGCCTTGGACGAAAGATTATGATTCACAGAGATCCAAAACGTTTCAGAACAATTATATAACTGGATAAGAATGTTTTACTGTTTTTTAAATGCCAAGTGCACGATGTCCAGAACACGTTACTTGATATACACAAATATACATAAATATACCCATACAGACATGTGTGTGTAACATCTGAATAGATGTAAAACTTCTAACACTCAATTTCTGCAGGGGAGTGCGGCATGATTGTGGGACCGCACTCAACGAAGCTACCACAATCATGGGATACTGGGTCTGATCAACCCAGCGTACCTGCCATTTCAACCACCGTTTTGCAATGTTTCGTCCATGGCAACCGGCCAAGCCAAGAACCGGTACGTCGACAAATTGGTCTTCCAATTTTTCGCACGGTTTTCGCAATCTGAACTTCCATTGTCATTTGAGGATGAATGAGCTGCATCAGAACGAGTTGTATGATTTCCTTCGCATAGGTTTTCACTACTGATCTTTCATTTACTCCTGTCAAGTTTAACTGAAGTGTTTTTGCACGTGCGATGCATTCCACATCAGTAATTCGATAAGATATTTCTGAGCAAGTGTGTCATTCCTGCTGCGTACGTCAAGTTGGCAGGAACCCTTCGGGGAAAGCCTTTCTAGGCTAACAATGGACAGTAAAACGATGTCTGAATCTACACTTTTGAATTAGTAATTCGTCTAAGTAAAGTGAACTGCTGGCCCTTTTTCGATTCTCACCTTGTCGAAGTCGTTTGGTTGAACAACTGGCCGCTGTGACTGGCCTCACCATTTTCTTTGGATTGCTACTGCATAGTCTGAAGCCACGCCAACACTCTCTTTTTTCGTCCAAGTGACTGACCTCTGCCGTTTTCATGCCATGACATTTGGGAAGACAGGCTAAGGACATGCTTTACAGGTGTGGTCTCTTCCTTTTGGTTACTTTGGTGAGGTTCAATTGTGCACGTAATTCATTTGAACACTGCCAGCCGTCGATGGGGCTGAATTGAATACCAAGGGCCTTGAGCCTTATCACGAATCTTGCAAGGGTTGTGGATGCATCTCTTTTCATCAACTAGGTCCCCATTGGTCCCCTATCTCATGCGCGCTTCCCCTCTCTAGGTCAGGTTTGGGTCCTTCGCGTGCCGAGGTAGGCTCTGGCTCTCGCCTTGTAGGTTGTGTCAGGCGCTTCTGTGCGCCCCCCCCTCCTCTGGTTGGTTTTTGGCCCGTCGTCCGTCCGCTTTTTCTTTTTCCTTGCCCTCGCAGGGTTTGCCCGCCTCGGGCCAGGTGTGTTGGTGTTGGTGTTCAGTCTTTTTCCTTTTCCTTTTTGTGTTCCCCCTCTTGTGTTCCGGTTAAGTAACTGTCATCTCATTTTCATCGTCATCTCATTTTCATCGTCATCTCATTTTCATCTTCCTTCATTTTCACCTTCATCCCATTTGTCGGGGCCTTAAAAAAGCCCCGCGGCAGCGGGGCGTGTGTGTGTAACATCTGAATAGATGTAAAACTTCTAACGCTCAATTTCTGCAGGGGAGTGCGGCATGATTGTGGGACCGCACTCAACGAAGCTACCACAATCATGGGATACTGGGTCTGATCAACCCAGCGTACCTGCCATTTCAACCTCCGTTTTGCAATGTTTCGTCCATGGCAACCGGCCAAGCCAAGAACTGGTACGTCGACAAATTGGTCTTCCAATTTTTCGCACAGTTTTCGCAATCTGAACTTCCATTGTCATTTGAGGATGAATGAGCTGCATCAGAACGAGTTGTATGATTTCCTTCGCATAGGTTTTCACTACTGATCTTTCATTTACTCCTGTCAGGTTTAACTGAAGTGTTTTTGCACGTACGATGCATTCCACATCAGTAATTCGATAAGATATTTCTGAACAAGTGTGTGCGGTTGGGTGTGTTGATGTTTCCGTGCCTTTAATGGGGCACCGGTCAGGAGTAAGCAGCTGAGGAATGGATCGCAAAGCATCCCGACATTGTGACTTAACATCACCGCATTCCCGCAGATAGAACCAGAAGGATTCGCAAGACGTTCAGCATCCCAAGCATCCTCACATCACACCTTGAAAAGAGAGGTGCGGTGAAGGGTGATTTTTCCTGATGGCTGCAGATTTTATTTTGTACTTCACAACGACGGCCAAAGAAGCCAACATGGCTTGTGGAGACTGATTTTGTTTGGGAATTCGGGAAGCAAATCCATCCGGCGTATTCTTTTTTCAGGATAAGTGCTGAGCTTTCGAGGCTTTGCCTGGGCCAGAATTCATATTGCACGCCTTTCTTGTTCGAGTCTGGCCGTCTGAAGCGCAGACTCGGACTAGCAAGTGATCAAGACAGCCCACAGCGAGTCAACAAGGGTGGAATCTCTGATCAAAATCATCAGATCAGTGAGATCTTGCAGGCTGCAACTGCACAGCAACTCGCACTGTTTTTGCTGAAGGAGGTGGTACATTTCGCCTTTCTTGCGCGCTTTGGAGTGTCAGACTTAGCCTTGAGCCTGAAGCTGCCAACTCCAAGAACATCCGGATGGCAAAGAAAACAGATGCCATTTCTGGTTTTTAAGATCTTTTGGGTCAAGTCTCATAAGTTTCATCAAGTCTCACCAGGCCCCAAATCACAGCTGTAGCTGTGTGCTTTCTGTTAGAGTCCCCGCAAGGACTGCAGCATACGCTTTATCTCCGCTTCACCGTATTGCACAACAGCAGGGACAGCAGCTGCAACTCAGAGTTTCACCGCAGGCCAGTAGCACTTGTTGTCAACGTCCCCCCATAGTCCCTGATTTCGGCGTCCCCTGATATTTATCAAAAAGCTGGGAAAAAATGGTAGCAGGGGGAAGCTAGGACAAGACAGGTTGTAGGTCAGGTGGGAGGCCGTTATGTTTTTGTTCAATCTTGTAATCTGAAATGTTTGACTGTTTCTTTTTGGTTATATTGCTATATATATATATAAATAAATGTTTTAGGTTGTTGTAATAATGTTTGGTTTCAATGAGGGTAGGTTTTGTTGAGGGTGTTTTGCCTGTTATGTTTTTTTATGTTCGTGTTCAATGTTTCTTCCTTCCCTTTGATGTTTTATGTGTTGTATGTTCTGTTTTTTTGTCGCTAACTTTTCTGGGGCTTTCTGTTTGAATGTGGTTAGGATTTGTTGAGGTTGTTGTGATTTAACCATCTGGATATGAGGGAAATGTTGCGTTAAGGTAGTCTATGATTTCTTGGTGTTTTATTCGTTTCATTTCTTCGTCAGTTTTCTTTTGTTGTTCTATTTTGTTTTGGGTTAGGTTTGTTCAAGTGTTTTTTTATGTCGTTGGGTTCTTTCGTGTCTTAACATTTTGCTCTTGAAATCTCAATTTTACAAATGGGACATTCAACCTTTTCTTTCTGTTTCTCAAGTTTTTGTCGTTTGTATTGTTCATAGCGTTCCCGCTCTTTTTGTCTTAATTTTTCTCGGTGATTTTCTCTATAATGCTGTTTATACTCACGACTCACAACATTTTTTACATAATGCCTTTCCATTAGCAAAGTTTTCTAGAGTTTGCGTCTTTTTACATTTTGAACATTTCCTACCTTTATGTTCGTTCATTAAAGTGTTCTGGGACTGTATCTTCAAATGGGTTTCTGGGTCTCAAAGATTACTTCATAATATGTTTAATTGGAAGTTCCACTGTTTCTTGACTTTGGCAGAGACTCAATGTCCTTCAAACTCTTCTTGCACATCATCACAGCCTTTGAGTTCGTGAGCAACATCCTCATTGCACCTCGTCAGCACTGGTGTTCTTGCAGTCCCAGACTTCTGCTGTCTTGTGTTGCATTGCATCACATTGCATGACATGACCTGTTGCTCATTGCATTTCGCAGCACTGGCTGTTGCTGAACATGTGCAGACAAAAACGCTAAACTCCTCATGGCTTCGAGAGCTTGGGCGTGGCTTCGCGCTAATGCAGCACCGCTGGGCGTTGGGACGCCCGTTGTCGGCGTCTTTGCCTCCTATGCGTGGAATGCAACTGAGACCCACCGGATGGCGCGCAAAAACGGCAGAGGATACTTCCAACCAGAGGCTCCTGCGGACTACGACCACCGGTTTTGCCTGTTTGACAGGTACATGATGGAGAAAGCTTCAATGGTCGGCCTCGTTGGGTTAAAATCCACAGGGAAGTCCAGCACTCTCTCGCACTTCCTGAGAGAGAAACCCAACCCCTTCTACCTGAAGCTCGCTTGTGGCAACGTCTACGACGCAATGTATGACCAGATGAAAAATAGAGTCCTTTGTCTCCCCTTCTTCGCAGACCACCTTCGGTGGGATGCTAGGAAGAACAGCGAGGACATCGTCATCGAAGTCTTCAAGTTGGTGCGGGAGCAGACAGGCTCGCCGGTGCAGGTGGGGGTGGATGTGGTGTTGAACCCCACGACATTGCCTGTAGAGGGGGCAGACAAAACAGTGAAGACTGTGCAGAATTTGTTTTTGCCAACGCCGAGCTCAGTTCCAATTTTCAGCTCAATCAACATCATCAAGCCCGTCAAGGATGTGAAGTGGCTTTGTGCCGACGCGAGGGTGGCTTCGGCAGTCATAGCATCCGGCGAGGGCTTGGAGCTTCTGAGTGTGAATGAGCCAAGGCTTGCGAAGCTGATGGCAGAGGAAATGCCACTCGAGAAAGCCAAGGAGTACCTCCAGCACATCCACGCCAAGGGCTACACGGAAGAGATGCTCAAGAACATCCCGCGAACCTTCGAGAGCCTTCAACAGTTCAAGATAGCACAGGACAAAGATGCATTTTGCAAGAAGGAGATGGAGGAGTGGATGATGAAAGTAGAGGAATCTCAAGAGCACTGCTCCCACGACGGCAAGGATGGAGGTCTCAGGGCTGCGAAGGTTCTCTACAGCAAAGCGCTTGTTGGAGCAGTCGACTACAGGGACATTCGCCAGCACTGCAAAGATGTGCAGAACTTCATGGCGAATTTCGTGAGACCCAACCTCTTCACCCCCACACCAGGTGCGAAGTACAAGTTCCAATTCGATTGTGTAGCCGAGGCAGCGAAGACTGTGTTCGGCCTGTAGCCACTGTAAG